TAAGTTGTGCAGAGTGTTGAGGTGATGAAGACACACACTTTATCTTACTATTCCCAGTCAAAAAATTTGGTAGAACAAGTGAAATTATTGGAATGAGCACTTGCTGCATGTCATGATGGTGTACCATGTTACAAGACAGATGTTTGCCAAACATGCTCATGTTTCAGTAGGAAATAATGCTTCCTGTTGATGTGAGGAATTGCCCACCTTCTATCTCAATGGTGCCTCAATGTCCACTCATTTATGTGGAATGGCACTGGTAGATGTGCATGCCAGAAGCTAGGAAAGAATGATGTATGCTCTGATAAAACAGTCAAGGAAAGGACTTTCCAGCTGGAGATGGAGTCTGGCTATAGTACATGATTACGGCATGAAATCAATATGGCTCCAGTTGGACTGGTCCACACCAAATACTTAGAAAAATTGATCCATTAATATACAAGATCCAGTGTGCATGCAACCACATTCAGCATATGGAAAAGCTACAACCTTATGTTATAGATGAATCTCTTGTATCCTGATTTGATCAGGAATAGGGGACCAATTAGTTTGAAGAATATCATGATACTGTTACAGAGCAATTCAGCACAGCTGATAAGGAGGAGAAAGCTGGAAATACTTACTTATTTATGGTCAATAAATCAGATGAGAAAGCACCTGAAGAGGTGCAGAAAAGTTTCAGACATCAGCCAGGACACCATAAATGACTTCCTGATCATTATGCTGAGATTAACTGATAGATTAGCAGCTAGGATGGTCATTTAGTTGAAAGATCAATGACTGATGGAAGTGGTATTCCTTGCATTCCGAGATATTTGGTGGTATTTTCCAACTCATTGTATTTACTACATTGTCCAACAACCACTCAATTATCACAGTTTGGACAGTTGAAGATTTTCACAATCACTGACTGATAGGACTGGGTGATTTTCCACAAGATTATCATAGCTAGGATAGTTGTTTGGTCATTAAACCAGTAGTTGAAAGGGTGTTGCAGTCCTTCTTTACTGAGCTAGTAAGTGTCCAACAAAATATTAAGGATTTGTTTTTAAAAAAAAGTGGACTTTTTGTTCCACACAAATAATTTGCACAATTTAGATTAAACTAAAGTGTTTATCAAAAAATAAAAAAAACCCCAAAGATATTGGTACTGGGCCTTTAAGACTATGTAGAATGTTGGGGTGGTCATTCTACCTCCCCTAACCCCTGTGAACGACCTTCATTGTGAGCCACTCCATCACCCCAAGCTAGAACAGTTAAGTGGTCGAGTAACTGATGACTGAAAAGACTGTAAAAATTTTTTTTCTGAGCAATCAAGTGATTTTATATTGTATAATGTTAGGCCAATGCTTCATGAAGAATATTCAGTCTTTTCTGAGCATTGGCAGTTCTCCAGAACAGGCCATGGGATACTAAAGAAACATTTAACTGTGTTTGGCTCCTCCATGTGCACTAAGGAGTTGTATTCTTATGATATTTTCAGTTGAAACTGATTTCCTTTAGAGTGATGAGATGGGTCTAAAAATAACAAGATATTTATTACAAAGTAATTTTGAGTTCTCTGAGTTTGAGAAAGAAAAAACTGAACACAGTGTAAAACACATAGTGAACAAATATTTAGTTATACTTACAAACAATCAAAATCATGTAAGTGCATAGGACAAAAGACAGCATCTTTACTTAACTCTAACTCTCTTATCAAGAAGTAACTAATTCTGTCAAGAAATAATTAATATTAAGGTTAAACTTTAGGAGTGTATTCATATTCACAATAATTAATTAAACTTTACTTACAAATTAATGACTTTAATACAAAATATAAATAATATTGAAGAGTGAGGTCATTAGTATTTGCATACAAAATAAATATGGATGTATTTATAGCCCTGGTAGGATTAGTACTTGCAAAAAAGAAACACAGTTTTGTGGATAATTGTAGAAACATTTATTCAATCCCTTTTTTTATAATCAAAATCAGTGAAGTAAACTCCTTGTCATCATCAAAGTTTAGAATTAATGTGGTTGTCATTATGGAAAATGAAAAGTGCAAGTAGAAATCATAGTTATTGGCAATAAAAATGCTACATGATCTTTTTATTCAAAAGATGATTCTGTAAATGTTTAGTACAAATGAATTTTCTCTAATCTATTTAATTAGGCATTGCTATTAAATTTTAGTATTACAAATTCCATTATTTCTTTCAATATACAGGTAGTGTTACTTGTACAATCATGAACAAACTTTATTATTGTACCCAGTAGTGAAACACATATTTGGAATAAATTAGTGAAGATAAACTGAACATCCAAAACATGTTTAAAATGTGTTTATTTTGATGTATACTTAATCCAAGCATCATTGCTCAATTGTAGCACATCAAAGTTAATGTCTGTTCTGATACATAGATAATGTTGAGTACTGTAACCACAGAAAAAAAATAAAACAACTTACTATTTAACAACACACCTAAAGATGGCATGAACAAACTATTATTTGTGAAAAGTTCTGAGGATATGGCAATTTCATTTCATTGATTTAATTTTTGATAATTAACAGTAATTCTTGTCCATTAGTATAATACAATTAATTGTGTTTCCTTTAAATACTTCTTACTGGGTAAAGATGTTAGTGAGTTAGTTAACACACACACACACACACACACACACACATATATATATATATATATATATATATATATAGTGTTATGTAGTACTAAGTTAGTTAGTTTGGTCGTTAGAA